GATAAGCTGTGCAAAGATGGGCAGCACTGTCTTCTGCCCCATTTCCTCTCCTTCTGGTACCAGACTGTACTGAAACAGAGTTGACTTCACAGCCTTTGTGCTCTTATACAAGGACTCCATCTCTGTGTGTGTCAGTTTCTTTACCTACAAGGGCTCACACCAGACTACTGCAGAGGGTAAAAGTATTAATAGAAATAAATGCCCAGGATAGTGAAAAACACACAGCCTCGGGGGATACCTCAGTTTTATCGTAACATGGTAGCCCTCTTGTGGTGATATATCGCTTATAACTTAATAAAGCTTACCTGAAGTTCAGAGAAGCAAACTGATTCAATCTCCTGTAGCCCAGGGTGGTGTTGGACTCACAGAGATCCATCTGCCTCTGTCTCCTGAGTCCTTAGATCAAAGCTATACGACACCACTTACAGGTTCTACAGCTGTCTAGTGTAGCTGGCTTTGCATTCTGATTCCCAAGTAAGTTTTATTAAATCATAAACACTCTATCACCACAATTCCCATTTTTTGTCTAAAGACATAAAGTAGAAGCTTGTACATCACACGAATGAAGACATATCGTTGTCTTTACTGTGTAACAATGATTCCTGGTTTCAGAGCTTAGACTGGGGCAAGTACAAGGCTCCTAGATATTTAAATGTGAAGAATAATGGCTTCGTTACTGAAGCTGAACCAGTCCATAGGGATTAAACTGACAGACATCAAATGTCTGACCTCCTGCTATGAGCCAACTTCCCTTGCTCTTTACCTCAGGCATCTGAAATTGTATTAATTTTGCAGAACATCTAGTAGAAAGAGAACTAGTTCTGAGTTTATTTTATTAGGTGTGAATTATTACACTTTCAGGGTTTCAAATGCTTTGATTATAAACTATGTTTTCAGAATGGTTGTAATAGAGTATACCGTCCTTGATATTGACATGACAGATGCATATAAACTACAGTTGGGTGAGAGATTCTTTAATTTAAACACTGGGTATGTCACTGGCTGAGTATGGGATAAAACCCTCTCACCTTTTCTTTCTGTATGTAAAAAGTCAATTATCATGTCCAGTACTCACCTGAGAGACCCAGTAATAACTACAAAGTCACCTAGCACAGTCCTGTGCACAGTAGGTGTACAATAAGGAACAACTTCTATCACAAGAACTCTGGGGTTCATGTACTTAATATATGGCAGTGCTACATCTAGCAACCAATATATTTAACATATTCCCTGAATATTTAATATGTTTATTGCAACTATTACAATGGCAAATGTTCTATAAAGTACAAATAATAGCATATTTTCATAAATATTTACAAATCTAATCAAATGTGTAGAGATTGTTATATGATCTTCATTATGTATTTCAGGAAAAAACCTAAATAAGGCAGAGATGTAATGCAAAGTGAGGTAAAATGTAAAAGTCCAAAAGGGGTTCTGAGCTCTTGTCAGTGTACATGATAGCACATCAAAGGCATTTGTAGGAAAATTTTAAGTTGTCAATGCTTATGTTTGTGGCCAGAATACGGCTAACGTCATTTGTTTAGATCAAAACAGCTTATTTACATTGAATAGGCATAAAAAGGAAAAAAAGCAGCCGGGCAGTGATGGCATACGCCTTTAATCCCAGCACTCGGGAGGCAGAGGCAGATGGATCTCTGTGAGTTCGAGAACAAGCCTGGTCTACCCAGCGAGTTCCAGGACAGGCTCCAAAACAATATAGAGAAACCCTGTCTCGAAAAACCAAAAAAAAAAAAAAAAAAGAAAACAAGTGATCATTTTCCAAACTTCCCACCGAGTCCGATGGCTTACCTCTTTGCTTGTGCACCTGTTGGGTAGTACCTGGAGCAGGATATGCCATCCCAGGCACAGTAAGGGTCTCGAGCCAGGCAGCAGTCGGCACAAGCACTGCCATACACGTCACAAGGATGGAATCTGACCTGAGCCACTGCAGAGGGTGATCCAATGTAGAGCTGTTGCTGCAGGAAGCAAGAGGATGTGAACAGAGGAGAGCGTGCAGAATTCATTAAGATGGCACCTGTGTTCCTACAGTGCTAATATAAAATAGTGACAACCGCTTTCCCTCTACAAATCATGTACTCACATCCTTGAATGATTTGTTTAACTAAATAACAGAAAAGACTCGGTCAAGTAAGAAACTTCCTCTCTTTGAAGAGATTTCCATAGAAACAATAGGATCTGTGTCCTGAAATGAATCACAATGTTTTCTTTTTAGTAGATATAGGAATAGTTGTTTAACAATAACTAAACATAGTATGAGTGGCTCTGTGTTTACACCTATATCATTCTCTTTAGGAAACCACCATAAATATCCAATTCAATTAAAACACTCTTTAATTTTCTAGTGGAGAAGAGGATCTGCATTCCAGGAACAATAGATGACTCGTTAAAATGATTCTTTGCCTGTGGAATAAATAGTAATGACTTTTAATCATACTAGTGATTCATAAACTCTTGTAGCTTTAAAATTATACAGTAGGACATTACTAAAGTATTTAAACCGTTAGAAGTAAACTAACTATATTCTAGAATATTTGTTACTCCTACTAAACTTAATAGTTCTTAATTATTTGAAGTCAAGCCTGTATGGAAGATGTCTCTATTGGAATGGCCATAGTGAATTACTGTACAGTGTTTGTCCAAGGTGAAAAACCACGTTTTCTCAGGAAGGACAATACAGACAATCATGATATAGCATCAGGGACCTTCAGGTTAGGTTAACAATGCTGCTTAACAGCTGACCGTCTTGAATGAGCACACACACATACACACAGACACACACACAAAGAAACAAGACACACAAGTATACACACACAAAACCCACAGAAACACACACACAAGCAGAAAACACACAGCACATTCACACACATGCACACAGCACACACACACGGATATACATACATGCACAAAAACACACACAACACACACAGACAGCACACATATAACACATGCACACAAACATACACACACAGAGACAACACACACACACACACAGACACCGCACAACATGACACCGTATACACACACAGACACATCCTCCAAACTAATTACAAGCAGAGAAGCACCAGGCAGAAGGAGCTCACTCAGGGAATAGCTGCCCTTTGAGGAATTAAATTTTAAGAGAAAATATTTGGTGCTATGACAGTTTTCAAATTCCTGTGCAGATGTATTCACTGAGAGTGAGTGGCATGGTACGTGTGTGGAGGTGGAGGACTGCTTCCAGGAAACTGCTTCCCTTGCACTGTGTGGGCTCCTGGGATCAAACTGGGGACTTTAGTCTTGGCAGCAAGCTACTTTCCTGCCTGAGCCATCTCTCCCAAATTATCAGATTTTTTCTTGATTTTCTTTTTCTCTTTCTTCCTCCCTTCCTTTCTTTGGTTAGTTCATGTGTGTCTGTGTGTGTGAGTGTATGTGTGAGTGTGTGTGTATGTGTGTGAGTGTGAGTGTGTGTGTGTGTGTGTGTAACCTATTGGACAAGGAAACTCTTTGCACACAAGAGTGCCATCCATTTATTCACCCAGGTAGCAATGCTCCTAAAGAGTTAATGTGGAAACATACAGTGGTTGGTACTGATAATGAGAGCTATTGTCACAAATGTTTACATTTTCATCATAGAGGCCCACAATGCAAAATAAAAAGTGTATCTTCTGCAGGTGAGACAGAAGGGAGGTTTTCCCAGGGAGTAGTGCTAGGGAAATCCACTCTTAACTCAAATGCCCCTCCCTGATAATGATTTTGATCTTATATACCTTCCTTGAACCTCCATCCAGTGACAGACAGAAGCAGAGGCAGACACCCACAGCTAAACACTGAACTGAACTCCTGGAACCCAGGGAGGAGTGATGAGAAAAGGGGTCAAGACTGGGCTGGTGAAACCCAGAGAAACAGCTGACCTGAACAAGGGGGAGCTCATGTTACCCAGAATTATAGCTGGGAATCCAGCATGGGACTGATCCAGAACCCCTGAATGTGGGTGTCAGTGCAGAGGCCTAGGCAATCTATGGGGCTTTGGGTAATAGATCAGTATTTATCCCTGGAACACGAATGGTCTTTGGGTGCCCATCCCACAATGAGGGATGTTCTCTCAATCTGGACACTTGGGGGGAGGGCCTGAGCCCTCCCTGGATCAAAATGACAGACAGTAGAGATCCCCCATGGAGGGCCTTACTCTCCCTTGGGAATAGAGTGTGGACTTGATGGGGGGCTGGGGGTGCTGTTGGGGGAAGCAGGCATGGAGGGGAGGGAGAGGGAGCTGAGATGGACATGGAAAGCAAGCTTGTTTCTAATTTAAAGATATAATGAAAACGAGTTTCCTAAAGACAATGTCTCATTCTCCATTTCTTATTCTTTCCAGTGAATTTCATTATATTCATATATATGGTCAGTCAACCTCATCTGTCTACCTGATAAATTAGATTTGTAATCCTAGTATCAACACTTGAAGTGCATGCCTTTCTTTTTCACAAACGCACAGGAAGGGAGCAACAAGGAAACCGAAGTGTGGAATGTACACACCCCTAGCTAGAGTGGCATGGTGACTCTCCAAATCCTGCAGTCCTGTGTCTGAGTACGTGGACACTTCCTGGACTATTTAGTACCATCTTGCTTCATTATATTGATGAGCTTTTTGATGGTGTTTTAGTGCTTAACATGTGTTCCAGGATGGTTCTGAGCTGACCATGTGTTCCAGGATAGTGCTGACCTTACCATGTGATCCAGCACATCATGAACCTGAGCTTACCATGTGATCCACAATGGAGCTGATGTGCTATGAAGTGTTTCCAAAACTCACTACAGCTGCTGTGCATCTCGAAATACAGAGTTTTGTGAGACTTGAGCTCCATTCACGCAAGAGTTACAATGAAATTGATAGTGAACTCAGAAATGTGTCATCAACGGTGGAGACTAAGATGTTTTCAACAGTAACACACACACAGCAAGGCTGGGAATTGTTCATATGAAAATATGGTGGTCAGAAATTTACAGGATCCTCGTATGCATAAATATGAGTCAAGACAGAGGAATAGGATTCAAGTGGTATCTATTTCACTAATAAGACCTTATGGTACATACTTACTCATTATATTATAGATACATGTACATGAATACATATTTTCATAACTTTGTTTTATCTTATGTTTTGCATGTGATTTTCTATTTCTTGTTAATTTCTTCATGTAATTAATACATTATAGTTATACATAGTGTGATCCTCCTGCCACTATGTACACTATATGCAATGTGTCACCTACTGATAGAGTTAGTAATGTTTGTGCAAGATTGAGTCTTCGCAAGTTGTTCTGGAATTCACCTGTGATATGAGTGCTATTTCTTTATGACCATGGTTGTACATTGACATTTTCTTCTATTACAAGCATGTCAGAACTTTGGAACATGCTGATCATGAGAGAGAAGCACTAGGTTTTATGATAGTCTTCACTTCAAAATTATCTTGAATCAAAACACAAGGAGGAAAAAGGAAATCCTGAAACGAATAACATTTTTCTTCTTATCTCTAGCTTTGATTGTCTGTGGTATGTGAATCTGGGCCGTATCACTCATGAAATTACCTTGAGTATCTGAAGTTCCTCTAGAATGACTTCCTCCATCCACTCCATTTCTTGGTTGTAAATTGTGATTCCTTCAGCACAATGCCTCCATCTGTGAAAAAAGAAAAATAGGTAATATCAAAATGGAGTGAGGCCCCAGACTTCAAATGCAACTGAAAATATGATGCACAGAACACCCAATGACTGCCAGCTAAAGATCACATGACTCCTTACATTCCAGTAATGTCAATTAGCAAAGATCTATTTTGCATGCTGAGCCAAAATTTTAACTGATATACAGATTCTTTTCCAAACACTTTGGTCAATACAATAATGAAATCATAGATTCAGAAATCAAACTGCCATATTTTAGAAGTTTCTTTTGTGAGGCATCAGGCAAGAAGATAACTCTGTGTAAGACTCATGCAGTGTCAGAATTGTGATATAATTTTAGCCACAAAAGGCACAATTGCTGTTTTTATCTTTATTATAGTGTTGAATACATGGCCAACCATATTCTAGGCAAACCGCCTACCAGTGGGCTGCATTCCTGCCCTATGTATAGTATTTTTTCAACTCTATTGTTTGGGGTCAATATAAAAATACAATAAGGGCACGGGAGGAGGGGAGGGAAAGGGAGAGGAACCTGGAACTGACTTGTGAAGCAACCTTGTTTCTTATCTAAATTTAAACTGGAAAATAAAATTTAAAAAATCTAGAAACCACAAAAAATACAATATATATTAATATAGGCCAAAAATATATTTCTAAGCTCCAAGTTTTCTCTGGTATAATTTATTGTTTTAGATCAGTGGTTCTCAACCTGTGTGTCATGATCCTAATGGAGTCATATATCTGATAGCCTGTATATCAGATTCATAATCATAGCAAACTTAAAGTTTTAACATGGCAACAAAACTCACTTTATAGATAGTGGTCATCACAACATCAGAATCTGTATTACAGGGTCACAGTATTAGGAAGGCTGAGAACCACTGCTTTAGAATGCTTTCTGTTAATTTTTAATTTAAGGGAGATTGACTACCTCAATGAATTAAGAACTGATACATCAATATTGAATTCTGGAAGATGAACTGCGGAAAATGCTCCAAGTGGAAATTGTTCACCATATAACCATGGGGATATGGGCTCAGCCTCAGCACTCTTGTAGCAAACTGGACACAGCAGCACACCTGGAGCCCTTGCACAGGGCATGCAAAGACAGAATGATGATACCAGGGGCTTGATGGCCAGCCAAGTCTACCCCATTAAGGGAAGACTAACAGTCAGTTACCAGGAACTCAGGTTCAGTACCTGCTTGTTGCTTTATAAACTGTACTTCTAGTTTAGATATCCATTTTATGTTTCATTATTCCAGATAGCCTGGGTTTTATCTATCTGCCTATAATTTACATAACAATTTAATTTACACCCATACATGTAGTAACAGCTCGTCTTACAGTGATTTTATGTTACTGGTCACCCTCTGTGGGCATGACTTCAGGTGTGGACATGATTGGAAGGTAGAGAAGTAGAGGGCAGGCTCTCTCTCTCTCTTTCACTCTTTCTCTCTCTATCTCTCTCTGTCTCTATCTCTCTCTCTGTCTGTCTCTCTGTCTATCTCTCTGTCTCTCTGTCTCTCTGTCTCTCTGTCTCTGTCTCTCTCTCTCTCTTTCTCTCTCTCTATCTCTATCTCTATCTCTTTCTCTGTCTTTGGATCCCATCAGGATGACAGAGACTGCATCTTCTGGAGCAGGAATGCCATGGCTGTTCTTTACTATTATCTGTGTAAGGTTTTCTCCAATAAAACACCCACTTATAATTAGTCTTGTATCTAGTGAACTCATTGAACACCCTGCCTTCCACTGTGGGGCTGAGCATGGGAGGGGGTGGGGGAGAAGTGATGGACGAATAGAGAGACCAAAAGTATACATTGTGAAGAGCGCTCTCAGATATAAGAAGTGAAATGCTGTGAGTTAGAGTCGGGAGTAAAAATGTATATAATTATAGATATAAGCAGAAAACTATTAGTAACATAATTATGCATTTACTTGGGTATATTTTCATAGCCAGGAGGACTGTGATAAAACAGAAGCAATTACAGAATGTTTAGAATTTGTAAATTTAGTAAGGATCCTTCCCTCTTGCAGATGTCACTGCTGGAGCTGTCTCAATAGCTGTTCTGGGGCTTGGGGAAGCAAAGGTGCAGCACCACATACACTCTAGGTCAGCAGGACGTGTAGGTGCCAAGAACTCAGAGTTGCTGCAATGGTGACCTTTGACTTTTCAAGCAGCTGCAGCTACAGATGACCTGAAGTGGGCCTTCCCAGGCCCAGAGGGCAAAGGTGAGACCAGGCCAAGCTTGGAAGGTTAGAGCCTTGGGAACTGCTGCCTTGGCCACTGCCCAGTCAAGTGTATGAAAATGCTAATTAATGCAGACTGTCAGAAACTGTTTTAAGACCTTATAGAAAGAAAGGCAACATAAGTGAATTTATTCAAATTTGTTCAGATTTTGTTAGCTATACCTTCTGCGTTGCTCCAGATTTCAGTTAAGGATGATTTATTACAACAGACTAATCATGACATATGAAGAAGGAGGGCTGAAAGATGTATGTATGTTCTCTATGGTGTGGATGCTAACACAAATTAGCTGGTAATGTGGGATGCTACTACACACACATAACTCTGATTCTTATATAATATTGAACTCACAGAGCACATTATTAACCTTATCAAAAGTGATAAAATGAAGCCTTGCTGTGGGTCTATTATGTTAAGTTTAATGTTTCTTTCCTTAAATTTTTCAGAAAACAAAAAGCAGCACAATGGAGAAGCATGAACAGGTCTTAGCAATACACCCTCTTCCTGGCAATGTCTTGTTGGAAACTCCATAGGGTAGAATGTGTAAGAATGCTTCCTGAGATCATTGTGAGGTCAGGACTGTGCTGCACCTGGAGAAGGAGATTTTAAGCTGAAGCATCATGCAGAATTTGTTCTTCATAATGCTGGGTGCTCAACAATCTTCAAGATTCTTCCCATCAATGGGACTTAGTGTGGTGGCATTAATTGAAGCTATGGATTCCTTTGGTCATTTTATCTTTAGCTGTGTGGAAATGGGCTAGTGGAACCACATGGTATGAGCTGGGTGGTAAAAGTTATCTCAGGGTGAGCTGAAAAGTACCAATGCTTTCTTGTGTCTTTACCTGTCCCAATAAATAAAACATCATACTGGCCATCCTCGGCTTCCACTCGGTCCACTGCTAGTTGCTTCAGGTTATATTTCCCACCCACTTTTACTAGTATTGTTTTTTATGAGCAGATTTCATGGGCTGATACATTACAAGATGAAATCTTGTGAATCAAATGGCATCGTCAGTGTAGTCTTTAGTGGTTCCATACCTCCCTCCATTCACCTTGTGGGCACACTAAAATGCAAGTGGATTAATTCACTCTTACTCTCTTGAACCTGAAGAGCAACCATATGTCCACCAGAAAGTCTAATTAGAAAAGTCAAATAAGCTCAAGCAATGAACAGTGCATTAAGTAGTACATAGTAGCTCCTCTTCTTTTGTTGTTGAAATGGACCCAGTACTAAAAATTTCAAAAGAAAACTAATTACTTTTAAAATCCAACATTGAAAATACACAGAGAGTTACTGAAATCCAGAAAAACTGAAAATATATACAATACAGGACTATTAGGGGATTGCAAGTAATTGCAACAATATGAATGCTAGAAATAGTTTCCATGGTTTTGACTTTTGTATCCTATTTCAAGTAAAACTTCAAACTGAAAAATCTGCATTCACTGTTGTCACAGTTTAGTGGTGAAGTGCTTGCCTAACATACATGAATCCTGGACTCAATCTGTTGCATGTCAAAAAAACAAAGAAAGAAAGAAAAAGAAAGAAAGAAATGAAACAAGAAAAGAGGAAATAAGGAAGGATCCGCCATGCATCAGAGCAAACCATGTCTGTTAGTAGTCAATCCCTACTTTAGGATCACAGCCTTGTGAGGAATGCGTGAGCTACAAAGTGAGACTTTCCCTTAAAATACATATTTAAATTGACCGTAATTATACGAAATAGATTTCTCGCTATTGAAACCATCGTGTTCAATGGTGATGTTTCTGCTTTCTTGCTGCATAATTCTAGCATTACAGAATAGTTATTCAAATTACATCATCGTGAATTAAGGAAACAACACAGCTCTTTGTGTTGTCCTACTATTATCTGTATGAATGTATATTATTTCATGGGCATATGAAACTGACAAAATGAAAAACTAGATCCTTGCTCTTACAGGTGGCGACTCTGAAGACACTAATGCTAAAATGTACAACTGCAGACCACCCTGGCATGCACTGCCCAGAACACTCACACTGATCTTTGCTTCCCAGCAACTGCTTCCCACTCTCACACGTGTGCCCCCAGAATCAACATTGGTTATAACAGTATCTGGATTTTCTCTAATCTAAAGTATAAATGCAGTAATTAAGTAGCCATGTTCTGTACAGGGGACATTTATAATTGTTTATGTGTTAAAATCTGTCCGTATGCCTAAATTTGCATGAATTGTGCACTTGAGTGCACTTGCACAACACATTATTGGAAACATTTTTGACTAACTTGGATGGAGTTCAACAACGAGTCACTTCCTCCGACCCCCTTTAAGGCAATGCTATTTTAAGAATAATCTTCAGGTAAGCCATGGGAGTGGATTTTCCCATTTAAATTACAATTTCAAGCAATCGTTAAATAAAATATACTGTATGGCTTACTGTAAGTAATAATTTTAAGCCAGTGAGAGCGATACACTTGCTAATGGAGGTGAGGTCTGCTTACATTTGGAAATTTGGCTCTACAAAAATGGTTTCTCTGTGACTGTGTGATAATCAGTCTAGGCTCACCATCTCACCAGATGCTTGGTAAAGTGAACATATGGACCTCCATGACAAGTAATATGTTTGCACACTATGATTCACATAGAATACACACTGGTACATATGACCTTTTCCAAACTAGTTGCATATGAGACCCATGATCTAAACCTACATCATCATCATCATTATTGTTAGTTTTAGGCATATCCCAATCAAATCATAGAAGTTGATATAGTAAGGAGTTTTGGTAGTACCATTTCAGAGGCAAATGATAGAATTTTCTTTACTCTGCTAATGGAAAAAATGAGAGTAGATCTGTCCTGAGGAACACATTATTGAACACAATATTAAAATTCTAAAACGAGACAGGATATTGTTGTTCAAAAGTGACACGTGATAATGATTCTCCTCACAAGGCTGGAAGAAAACTATTCTATGCCTATTTGATTAAATATTTATATGCTTACCAGTACCCCTAAATTGGAAAGTTCGCTTAGAGCTACTTGTTTGGAGTATCACTGAGGACACAATTTATAAGGCAGCTGAGATGGGTCCATCCACACTTACATTCTTTGCATTAAATAACTAGCATAAAATTCAACTTGACACTGTTCTTTCTTTACTGTTGGAACACTCTTATAGATATAAAATGATAAATGCTTTAGCTGCAAAGTAAGAGAGAGCATGTGAACGGAAGACTTCAAACATAAGAACAGCATGATGAATGATTACACTTACAGAACTTCTCCTTCACAGAGTGACCAGTGATATTCAGGGCCTTCTTCATGTGCATATGGACCATTAAAGGCTTCTCAGATATTTGACATGTGACAGACACATATAGCATGGCCTCTGAACATATTGCTGAAAAATAAAGATTATAAATCTAGATATGTATTGCTGAAAAATAAAAATTGTAAATATTAATGTATGTATGCTAGTATTAAAACTTGAGTAAAAAGCAGTTCCTCCAGTGGCGCAATCGGCTAGCGCGCGGTACTTATATGAAAATGCAGTTCCTTACAGCATAGGTATCCTAGAAATATTAACAACTACAATATTTTAAGTATTGAAATTGAAAAACTTTCCATTCCTTTCATTTCCTATACTCTCAACTTGTAAATGGCATTAGAAGGATGGAATTGTACAGCTTCACTTTGTAATTGTTAAGTCCTATGCTGTGTTTTTGTATGTTTTTGAATTATTCTCACTTCAGTATTTATTTATTTATAATTTTTTTTACAAAGTCAGGAGCTACAGAGCATGGGCAGTGTCAGATGACATCTTGCAAGAGTCAGTTCTCTCCTTTCACCACGTGGTTCTGAAGACCAAGCTCAGATTGTCACCTTGGCAGCAAGTTCCTTTATCTGATAAGCCATCTTGCAAGGTCTCCTTTTCCCATCCTTTGAAGATTATTAACCATTTGAATTGGTCATTTTAAGGGAATAGTTCTATGTCAGTGCATCTTGAATGAAGCTAATGGTCTCCTAATAACTACACTGTTGATTTACTCCAAATTCTATTTGAATCTCCCTATATGTCCTGGTAGCTTTTGCCCCACTTTTTAGCATGGTGTATTTTAAATACTAGAACATTGCTTAAACTCTTCTTGAAAGTCACAGAGTTCTTCAGTGATGGAAGGAATATGTAAAAATTCAGAATTTGATCCTCATATGAAGCAGCTGTCAGAATGATTTTAAAAATGGTAAGATATCCTATCAGAGGATAAAGAAACTGTAGAGTACATTATTGGGGACATCTGCAACCACATTTAGTAAAAAGATATTGTCACAGAACCTGAACGCAGAACCATCATTTGAAAGCAGTGTGCCATTTCATAGTCTCCATATTATGTGCATTGAAATAAATGGTGTTTGTAAGGAGCTCAACAAATATGTAAACTTCGTGTAAATGTATTTCCTGCACTCTGGGACAGCTGTAGAACAACAGTCATGTGATTGTCTTAGGTCATTCAATTCACATATTTTTATAACACACCTTGAAGCAATTGGAAACGCCAGTGATACTGGGAAAAACTAGACAGTCTCAGCTGAAGTGGCAGTAAACCTCTGATCACCGTTCTACAAATATCAAGCTCCATGGCAGGTACAGCTGGGAGCTCTCTTCCCCTCTCAGATTTATACAGAAACTGAAAAAAGTTGAAGTCATGGAAGGAAATCATGCCTTTGATTTCTCTGAATGATCCAATATGCTATCATTAGGAGATTAGGTTTTAAACAGAGTTTTAAGGAGTAGAAAATATGCAAATTATCTCATAGGTCAAATTTATCATTTAAAGAGTTATCACATGATGCAAAAAATCATTTGCTGGCATAAGAAAAATGAAGTAAAACAGGGCTATCTGTGTATACTGTGGTGAATACAAATATATATTAAATTTTTAAATTTACATCAAAGTACAAATAATAGAAATAACTGTTTCCATATTATTCTGAGGAAGAAAAGATCTGGTTCAAACAAAATACTCATTCAAAGAGCTCTTAGGTGCTTTAATTCAAAGTGATCAATAAAAATAACCTGCTGAAAACTTAACAAGACTGTGGGAAGACGTTAATAAGCACAAACTACAAGGTCATATTGCAAGTTAATGAGAACATACTGATGATGACAACCTGTAACATCAATCTATCTCTGTTGAAATGCTGAGACATTACCTTCTGTATTCTTAGGGCTATTGTTTTCCTTTTGAAAGCTATTCAGGAAATTATGTATACAAACTTTCAATTCTTATTTCTTTTTTTTTTTGGTTTTTCGAGACAGGGTTTCTCTGTATTGTTTCAATTCTTATTTCTTATTTCACATATCAATACATGTAAAATATTACTTTGTAGGCCGGGCGGCAGTGGCGCACGCCTTTAATCCCAGCACTCGGGAAGCAGAGGCAGGCGGATCTCTGTGAGTTCGAGGCCGGGCTGGACCGACAGCCTCCAACACAATACAGAGGAAACCCTGTCTCGTAAAACAAACAAAAAACAAAAACAAAAACGAAAAAAAGGGATTGGAGGAGTGAGCAGTTTCAAGAGGATGATGGATGCTATGAACAAAACAATAAGGCGTAGACTTGAATTGTGGCTTTGACGAATGAAGGCCAGTGGCAGTCAGGGGAAATCAAGGGAAGCTGGACACTTACAAAGGACAGAGGATGGGAGTGATGATGGGGTCAGTGTCAGAGACATGTGCACCATGACAGCTGCTGCAGTGACACAATTTTTGTTTCGTAGTCTTTTGTTGACTATCAACTTCGCACCTAGTAGTATTAAACAGTCCCAATATCACTGCATTCTTAGGGTCTCTGGTAGGCAGCAGAAACACATCCTCTGAAAGAATAAAATCCACTTCCTCCATAGCGTTTTAACCTTCTCTGCATGGGAAGAAACAACAGTTTACAAGATGGTTCAGAACTATGCATTTTAAGACCCAGTTTCAGTTCCACAGCTGTGACCAGTGCAGAAGGATGAGTCATTGCTTTGCTCTGGGTGCGGACTTGTGCTGAGTGACAGAGAAGAACCCAGCAGGATCCTCTATGGGAGTGAGATGAGTCTCTGTCAACTCTTCTGCCCTACGAGCTGACTGGATCAAAGTGAAGAGATGGAAACTTGCTTTTGGTCTGTAGAGGTCAAACACTTGCAGAAGACATTTTTCATCATACGCCCGAGAGACTGATAGTTGTAGGGGAAAATGTGCCCACATAGAAGAGTGAAATGTAGATCCTCCAACCTTAGTTACCTAGATCACCAAAATATGTGTCGATTCCATTCCCTCCCGGTACAGAGAAAACCAGCCTTGCTTTAAGGAAGGTGCTGCACTTATTCACCAGAATTCTCTGTCTCCAATGTCATTCTGGGAAAAACAAAATGGACAAATGCAATGCTTAAAGAACATTTACAAAGCAAGGTTTAATATGGTGAAATGGGAAGATGGTTTTCATTCTCTCTCTCTCTCTCTCTCTCTCTCTCTCTCTCTCTCTCTCTCTCTGTGTGTGTGTGTGTGTGTGTGTGTGTGTGTGTGTGTGTGTGTGAATGTTAAACAAAATCTTCAGGTAATATTACAAATAATTCCCTCTCACTTCTCCCTTGCATTGGCTAATCAGTGTAGTACTTTTTTAATGATTATTTTTAATTTTTAGTTTCACATGTGGAGAGCAGACACTGAGTATATTTAGGAGCACCATGTGTGGGCTACTGTTGTAGAAGCCTGCAGACAGCATCTGGTCCCCAGGGCTGGAATCCCAGGTGGTCACAAATTGCTTGATTTGGTGCTGGGAATTGAATTTAGCTCCATGGTAATACACACATGTGCTCTTTGCTCCTAAGCTATTTCACCAGCCCCTTGGTGTAGCACTTTAACTCAAGTACTGTCAATATACTTGAGAGTCATTACTGGTCATTAGTCATATTGATGTGGTTGTCTCTCCTAGAAGAAGTACTGGCTTATGATATAGTGACTTCATTACTATTTGTTCAGATACTGCATAACTGTCTCAAGAACTTGGGTGGATCATGCCTTCCCATGGCGAAGAAAGCATATGAAGCAAGGCATATGAAGGTGGCTAATGCCTGTAATCCTTAGACCTAAGATTAAAGGTCATTCTCAGCTGCATATGTGTATATCCGTATATAATGTGTGTTAGTATTATTAAATTTCTCCCTAAATGCTGAAGCAACTGTATCTTTCTGATTTTGCTCTTTTGTTGTTTTGTTCTTTTGCTATACTATTGATCAACTGCATTTTTCAGATCCAGATGTATATAACCCCAAACCAATTGTGAGCCTAATAAAAAATTGTTAAATTTAATTTAAAAATACTATAGAATCAACTCACTTATTTTTAAAGTAAAAAACTGAAGCTTTTGTGTTTAGAGACTAAAGAATCTGAATAGGTGTCTGATGGGGGAAGTCCTTCTGTATATATGAAAATACAGCACTGTTGGCCATTAGGGAAGCAAGATAGGTGGGACTAGGAGTCTAGGAGGATTCTGGGAAATATAGTAAATACAGTCATCAGCCACGTGATCCCAGGAAGAGGACAGGTCAGGATGCCATCCTCAGAAAGATAGGTCCTTATAGAAATATATATTAGTCATTATGGGTTAATAATTAAGTCAGAGCTAGCCAATAAGAAACAATAACACATGGACAACAGCTTCTTAATTAATATAGTGTCTCGTGTACTATTTGGGGGTTAAGCAGCAACGGGACCCAGGCGCCTGGCGGGAAGACTACACTTAGAGGTGTCTTTTGATTAATACAGTCCCAGGCATTTTAAAGGGAATACTTATGCGTGCTGAAGCCTAACCAAATGCTGTAATTGATGAAAATGCTCACTATAACATGGTATTTTCCCTCCCAGATATACAAATATGTGAGAAAACATAAACGTACTGATTGTATGTATGAGTATAACTGCATATATACAGTATATAGAATTCTGCTCAGGGAGCCACTAGTGACCCTCCTAATGTACAACATGATGCTATTGAGCAAGCCAGGCACACAGTGATTGCAGCACCAAGTGCCAGTTACGAGTCCGTATTTTTCATGTGTTCAATTTGCTCATTTCTTTTAGCTCTTGATATCAAAGAACTGCCATGAGCAAACTTATTGTGTAATTAAGGAAAATTATATATATAAAATGACACATAAACACCATATGTATTTTGGGCTCAAGAATGCGATAGTTTTAAAGACTATTTTGTGTCTGTATTTTTATTATAAAAATGGTAGACTTAGCCACGGACTGCAGGCTTGTTTTCCACTCTGATTGTCACTCTCTTGTCTCCTCATTTCTACTTTTCAGCAGCCACTTGTCTTCATGCCCTCTGTGTATATGGCCTAGCTCCCCAGACTTCGGAAGATCGCAGAGTCTCTGGCCCAGTAGTGATTGTAGAGTCCAGTAAACAGGTCGCTGCCTGCACGGGTGCACAGGGAAAAGAGATCAATATCTACCTCTCAGTCTGAAGATAGAAGCCACTGTATGTGAAGCACACCAGGCTAACACACTTCCTACTTGAGGCGGTCAACGCTACTGTTAAGGGCAGGAGGGATGCAACCATGCAGGAGAGCATCGGGCTCCTTTGCCTCTTGGCTGTGAACTCTGAGCCTCGTTTCCTTCCTGAACAGGAAACAGCAGGGCTCAGAGCCGTTAGGACAAAAGCATGGGGGGGGGTGTGGGAACACCAGACCTTGAGCAGAGACCCACTTCCCCTTCTGCCTGGGAGTAGGCAGCTGTAAGACAATGTTTACTAAAAACATGTTTACTAAAAACAATACAATGCCCGGGGGCAATAAGTTCCTGGAAAAGGCCTGCCCACAGAAACCACCCTGACCTCGACCTTGTCCAAAGACTAACTACCTCTTCTGCCACGCCCAGATCAGTTTCTGGGGTCAGGGAGAACCAGCCAGGGTAGAGGAGAGAGCAGAAGCTTCTCTGGTGGGAGCCTTTCTGAGGAAGTTTTTCTTGAACCTTTTTGGGGCCTGCTTAAAGTTTTCTTTACATCATTGAACGAGTCTCTGTGTTGTCAATCCCCGACACCCTCCGCACGTTCTCGGACACAGGCCGCGCAGCAGACGCGACAATTGGAGGTCCTACCGAGATCGTGAAAGCGAGGTAAGTGGATGGGGTTAAGAAACTATGGGGAATAGTTCCGGGAAGCTAGAATCATTGCAGTATCAACTAAAAAAGTTACTTAAAGAACATGGGACTGCAGTCAAGTCTAAAACCCTAGAAGGCTTTCTAAAATCCATCGAACGAGCCAGTCCATGGTTCATTACTGGGGGAAGCTTAAATATTCCAGATTGGGAGGAGGTTCGCCGTGATCTTCATAGACTCTTACGAAAAGAGGGATCTGGGTCCTTGCCCCCTACGACATTCTCCTTATGGAGATTAGTGAGGGGAGCACTTTTGACAGATAAGGTTCGTCACCGCCAGGTAGTTCAGGACACAAAAGAGGCTTTTTTAGAATTACAAGAGACTGAGACTCAAGCCTCCTTGAGTTCAGGGGCAGAGAGTGAGGAAGAGACCGTGACTGAAACTAGAGGCTCCATTGTTAGTGAGGATGAGGGGGAGTCTCATAGTCTCCGGGCGCAACCCAAACAGAAGAACTCCGGACAGAATCGGTTATATCCTTCTCTATCAGACCTAGATAATGGAAGTAGCTCAGATTCAGACTCGTCACAGTTTGAAAAGGAATGGTTACTTGCTGAGATCGTGGCCCTTCAAAAAGAACTAAAAAAGATTCTAATTAAGGAAAGACAGGACAGGGAGAGAAACCCTTCCCCATACTTTGAAAAAAGGGACTCCTATGAGATAACCCAGTCCTTCTCAGACCTGGAGGGAAGACCCAGAGGAGGGGTCCAATGCTGCCCGGTGGTGGCCCCAGTAATGGAAGTTCCAGATCCGAACAATTCTGGACAGGTCATTCGGCGTCATAACCCTTTAAATTTTAAGGATATAAAACAACTTAAGGAGGCAACTTTAAATTATGGAGCACAGGCTCCCTTTACAGTTTCCTTAATGGAATCTTTTGCTTCTCTTAACTTGACACCTAGTGATTGGCAGCAGCTTTGTCGAGCGACACTATCAGGGGGAGATTATTTGATTTGGAGAGGTGAGTTTCAGGAAAGATGCAGCCAGACAGCCCAAAGAAATGCACAGGCCGGACAGCCCCAGAGAAATGTGGAGATGCTTACCGGGAGTGGTCAATACGCCACCATTCAGCAACCCCTTCATACCATAGACCGTAATAATTTGTCTGCTATGGAGAGACATTGGAACAAACCCTCCCAGTCCTTGGGATGGGTCAGATGGAAGGATTTGATTACAGGAAAATGGCAGCCACCCACTCCCCTACTAGCTAGGGTCCGAGGGGCTGTTTGTGTTTTCCCTCCAGGAAGTGAGAAGCCTATTTGGGTCCCCGAATGGTGCTTCAGGCATTTCGACCCCAATACTACTCCGAATACTAGGAATGCTCACCATGATAAAGGTGATCCAACCATTGCTGAACACTCAGGTAAGGGAAAAATGGGCGTTGGTGAGGATTCCCCCCCATGTTGATGCCAGTTAGTTATTCCAGCTCCCTGTTCATCAAATTTTAAAACACCAATAATACATTGGGAGCGGCTGCCGCCAATGAGATTAAAAAGTCAGAAACTAGACATTCTGAGTTTCCCCCCTCCTAAGCCTGATACCAGGGTCAGGAAGTAGGGGAACCCAAGAGATTGCCAGCGGCATACGCCTTTAATCCCAGTGGCATACGCCTTTAATCCCAACACGCCTTTATGAGGGAACATCCTGGGTTGAAAGTTGGATTGAAAATGGGTGAATAGCCGGGCGTTGGCGGCACACGCCTTTAATCCCAGTACTCCAGAGATACAGCCAGGCAGATCTCTTGAGTTCAAGGCCAGCCTGGTCTACAAAGAAAGTTCCAGGACAGCCTCCAAATAGTACAGAGAAACCCTGTCTCGAAAAAAAAAATGGTAACAAGCTGAGCGGTGGTGGCACACGCCTTTAATCCCAGCACTTGGGAGGCAGAGGCAGGCATGTCTCTGAGTTCGAGGCCAGGCTGGACTGACAGCCTCAAACAATACAGAGAAACCCTGACTTAAAAAAAAATGGGTGAAAAAAAATTTGTAACAGTAAAGAGGTACTGGTATTAAGTAAAGAAAAAGAAAAAGACAAAGGTATATAGAATGGAAATTTTTGTTTACATTTAAGTTCTATTTTGTGAGTCATCTCTAAAAACTTGGCCAAAAGCCTGGCCTCTCCACCTTGCATCTACAGAGTTACAAGGAGTAGGTACGGCTGTACCCCATGACTGTAGCTCAAATGGAGGAATGATAAAGAACATACAGGACTTTTTAACCTCTTAGTTCAAGGATTGGCTGGAGTTGTTCTTTTACATAGATTTCAATTAAGGAAGCTTCATTGCAACAGACTAATCATGACCTAGGG